TCCCCTCATTCTCTAGCTAGAGCGGCAGGTGCATGCCACCAGCTAGAATCAGAAAACACCACACACCCCAGGAACCAAGCCGACCATGGAAATGGCTCCCAGGAGTGCTCAACAGGCCCGAAAGGGGGTAAATAGCAAAGCGGGCACCCAGTGCCTTTGATTCCTTAGCACAGGATAGGACCAGGGGAGGAGCGAGAGCAGGACCCAGGCCTGGACCCTTCAAGCATTAGGGCACTTACACAAGCCCAGAGCAAACACACCAGTTTTCACGTTGGAGGCCTATAAGACTCAGGATAGCTGTATCGACCCTGCTTTTCTAAACCGGAGTTCTGGATACATCTGACAGGGGGATGCAATAAAAATAAGACTGTCCTTGGAGAACTAAGACCAGTGTTGCTTATCAGATGGGCCAGAATCAAGTCTTGAAAGGCTGTCTTAGTAATATCTTAAAGTTTTTAATTCCAGTTAATATACAAGTTATAGTAGTTTCAAGTAGTATCTTTCAGATGGGATATAGTATGCCTTTTAAATGAATGATGTTAAGGCGCCTGGGTGGCTCAGTCAGTTGGGCATCCGACTCTTGATTTGGGCTCAGGTCATGTTCTCAGGGTTGTGGGATCGAGCCCTACCTTGGGCTCCAAGCCCCGCGTCCGGCTCTGCTCAGTGCAGAGTCTGCTTGGGATTTTCTCTCTCTCCCTCTGCTCCTCCCCACCCCCACTCATGTGCTCTCTAAATAAATAAAATCTTAAAAAAAGTAAACTAACGATGTCAATAGTAATAGAAAACAGTATTGTGCAATGATAGAAAAAAAATAAACTGAAGAGCTACAATGTAGCAAAAAGTAACACATGGCAGAATCTGGCCACAGACAGGAGTATTTTGTTCTAATCAGTAATGTCATCTAATTTTAATAAAAGTCCCCACATGACTGGGGACACCTGGCTGGCTCAGTTGGGAGAGCACACGACTCTTGATCTCGGGGTTGTGAGTTCAAGCCCCACATTGGGTGTAGAGATTACTTAAAAATAAAATCTTTAGAGGTGGAGCACCTGGGTGGCTCAATTGGTTAAGTGCTTGACTCTTGATTTCAGCTCAGGTCATGATCTCAGGGTCCTGGGATGGAGCCCCTGGACTGGACTCCATGCCGAGCAGGGAGTCAGCTTCAGATTCTCCTTCCTCTACTCCTCCGCTCTAAAATAAATAAAATCTTTAAAAAAAAATCTTTAGGGGCACCTGGGTGGCTCAGTCGGTTAAGTAACTGACTTGATTTCAGCTCAGGTCACGATCTAAGGGGGTGGGACTGAGTCCCACACTGGGCTCCACACTGGGCATGGAGCCTGCTTAAGATTCTCTCTCCCTCTGCCCCCCAACCACCCCCCATGCACATGCTCCCACCCTCACTCTCTAAAGAAAAAAAGAACTTGGGCGCCTGGGTGGCTTAGTTGGTTAAGCGACTGCGTTCGGCTCAGGTCATGATCCTGGAGTCCCAAGATCCAGTCCTGCATCGGACTCCCTGCTCGGCGGGGAGTCTGATTCTCCCTCTCACCCTCCGCCCCTCATGCTCTCTTTCTTTCATTCTCAAATAAATAAAAATCTTAAAAAAAAAACTTAAAAAAAATTCCGTCTCATTATATATATATATATAAACCACCTCATGACATCAATTTTAAATGTTTTTTTTAAAGATCTTATTTATTTGACAGAGAGAGACACAGCGAGAGAGGGAACACAAGAAGGGGGAGTGGGAGAGAGAGAAGCAGGCTTTCCGTGGAGCAGGGAGCCTGATACAGGGCTTGATCCCAGGACCCTGGGATCATGACCTGAGCCGAAGGCAGACGCTTAACGACTGAGCCACCCAGGCGCCCCAGTTTTAAATGTTTTAAAAGTAGTGTTTGGAAGGCTCTGAGTAGCAAGTGGGTTAGTCAACAGCACTACCATCTAGTACTTACGTATCTGTGCTGTTGGCACACAAAACTGTTCTTCCTTCCTTAACAGTGATCAACAGCCTAAGATATAATGGTAATTCAGGATTTTGATGCCAGCCTTCTTGGGAGTAAGCACAGGACTCATTTGCCTCAGGGCTCTGGCTGGAGGGAGGGGCCTATGGCCCCTGGGACTAAGTTTAAAAACTCCCCCAATGAACACACACTCCAAGAACATATACAGGATCTCCTTGTGCTTCAACGTAAAATAGAGCTCAGACCTGGAGAATTTGCATTTCATGGAAATACAGTGTCTTAGGAAATGAAAGTATTTCCAAGGTGCCCAGATACCGTTCCGCTTTCATCTTCCCCAGTTATCAATAGGTACTTCGGTAAAGCAGAGTTCAGCCCGAAGACCCCCTACTGTCAGCAGGTCAAGACCACTTTGTGCCCCTTGTCTTAACCTCTTTCCAACATGCCACGCCTGTTTGTGCCCTCAATCACCATCCTGGAGTACCTGAAGGTGGGGTCTGGGGCTGCAGACTGCCCTGAAGCACTTGGTAGGAGCGGTCACCACCATCTCCTCGGCAATCATGTTTGAAGATGAGTCTGTTACAAACTCTCAGGTCCGTGAGCTGCGGGTGCCTGAGCTCCAGCTGCTGCGGGGCTAGAGGTGAGCCCAGGAAGTGGGGGCCTCAAGGCCACTTGCCCACCTACGACTCTTAGTCATCAATCACAGATGAGCTTTCCACGATGGAGTCTTCCCCAAGGTCCTCCCACCCAGATGCCTTCCCAGGAATTACAGATCCATGGTGGGAGGGGATATAATCACCAAGAAGCCTGTGACCAAACTGTGCAAAAAGCATCAACTTTCCCAGTGATCATGATGCTATTCTGAGGCCATGAGTCAAACAGAGCAAAAGTCTCAACGAGGCAGACGGTCACAATGCCTGAAGTTTTCACTTAAACGGCCCCACTTTGGAAGCATCTGCTCAGCCTCAGAGTAGCTCATAGGTGGTCTGAGACCGGCAGCATCCAGCAGGACGGTGCTGGCTCAAGTTCCTTCTCACCAAGGTCATCGTAGAAAAGCGGAGAAGTGGAAACTACGTAGCACCCAAGCAGGGCAGCCGCAAATGAGGTGGTGCGCTGAACTCTGTTTACGAACTGGACCAAGACTGTAAGTGGAAATTCCTTGGGTTTAGTTTCTGTTCACACTCTCCTCTGGTCTACGACGGCCAGTGTGGTGTGGTCAGGCCTGGCCTCACCCCGTAGCAGCTAGCTGAGCAGGCAAGTAGGCTTTAGTTCCTTGGCACACGGACACTGCTTCGACACAGACCATTCTGGGCTTCTGTCTTTTAAGGGGGGGAGGGGAGAGGGAGGGAGGGGATGAGAACCAAGCAAGCCATGCTCTGGGTCTAGACCAGAGTTTCCAAAGCGCGGCCTATGGCTTCCGTCAGAAGCACCAGGCCTGCCTGTCTGTCCTTAACCACCATCTCGCAGCACCTGAGGGCGGGGGCATCCACATTGTGAACAAGCGCCCCAGGGATTCTGACGAGCTGCTGCATGTGCGCAATCACGACTCCTGGGGCCCAGCAAGACCCACATGCACCCCCAAGGAGCTAGGCGAGTCGGAAAATAGGACACAGGAGTCCTAACACCTGACATGGCTTTTAGGTTTTTATTTTAAGTAAGGCGGGGGGGGGGGAGAGAAAAGATACAGAGTGAAGAATTCGTTGTATGTTTATTATTCACAGTTAATCACTACCTACCAAATGCTATCCGCAGAGTTAAAGGATTAAGTACATAGGTCTTTTTATTTAAACACTGATTTTTTTTTTAAATATATACACACAAAACTTAGTTTAGCAAGGCTTCATGATATACACCAATTCCAAAATAAAACAATCAAATGGTCCAGGTGTAGAATGCCGGAGATACCTTTTATCATCAACGAGGAAAGAAGCTACCAGAAAGGGAGCGAGGGGGCGGGTGCTCTGTCCAGAAGAGCAGCTGCCTCCGGGGCCTCTGAGTACTCCAGGCTGAGTCCGGCTCCATAACCAGAGTCCAGGGGAGACTCCAACCGACCGCCTCAGAACCCAAAGGCCATCACCGACTCCCGGGCAGCCCCGTGTTTGTTGCGGGCAAGGGGATCGGGTGGAGAAAGTTCACAGGCACATCACTGCGAGGGACAAGCAGCTGACAAGGTGGACAGAGCGCTCTGCAATGGACTCGGCCTTCCTACGTTTCCCACTCATCCTTCCCCAACTGTCCCTGCTTCACCGAGACATTTCCTTGGGGGGAAGGGCAGAGCGGCTACAGACACGGCCCACTGGGAACGGAGACATAAAAACCCAGCTGCTTCTTGAACGCTGCCCTAGTGCTCACCTGGGCAGGTCAGGCAGGGGACACAGCAGATGAAAGCCATGAACAGATACCTCTGATTTTCAGAGCAAGGAAAACGCAAGCTCCCATTTTCCACCCCGGTGTGGGAACACAGTGTACAACCCGACACAGTCACAGAGCGATGGCTGAAGTTCCTTGGGCTTTCCTGTGTTTGAAACTTGCTAGATCCAGGGTGTTTTCTCTGGGGGGCTCTGGAGCTGAGGAGGGGCGGACAACAGCCGGGATCGCAAGGTCAAGGACTCTGACCCCCTACCCCCAGCCAGATGCAGTCCGAGGTGGGAAGAGCTGGACCGTCTCCTCCTTCCCCAGCAGCGGGCGGCACTGCTCCCCTGGGGCAGCCACGGCAGACTCCAGAGGGCTGACAAATATTAAAGCTGAACCTTAAAGACTCGTGGCTGAGAACAGGCAGAATGGCCACACCCTCCACCTGAGCTTTCTCCGCGGCTCTACCCTGCTCTCCCCTCCCCCCGGGGGAGGGCTATTTACAGAGTAGGAGACAAATTGGCTAAAAAAGCTCTGGACTGTCTTTAACTTATTTTAAAACAAATAAAAAAACACCACTCATAAGCAACTCTTGAAATAAGGAAAAAGGCACTATGAAAAATCAACATGCTCAATAATACCATTTGGAAGGGAAAACAATGTAGAAAAGAGACAAAGGTTTTTAGCTTGACTTTTCTCAGGAAGCCATGAGGGTAACAGTCCTTCCTTTTGCCCCCGCTCCGTTTTCAACTTTGTCACAAGACGCTGGCGGCCGGGGGCTGCCCCCGTTTGGCAGAAGCTGCCCAGCAAGGGCTGCCGGCCGCCCACCCCCTCCTGTGTGCGCGCCTGAGGAACACGGCCATGGCTGTCCTTCCTGCAGTCACTCTGATTACAACAGACATTTTGCATAGAGAAAATACCAGCCCGCTTGTTTCTTTTCTTTTATTATCGGCATCAGCTAGGACTATATGTAGTATTAGACGTCATGCACTGATGGACAGAAGAGAAGGATGGAAAGGAGGACAAAGGAGAAACAGGAGCAGCGGTGAAAATTTGTAATAAAAACTCTTCTTAATTTATAGGTAAGTTTTGGCATTTTTATATCCAACGCCCCCCCCCACCCCAGAGTTCCAACCAAAGTGAGAGGGTCACCAGGTGACCCAGCCAGGTGTTCTGAGCTCCCTCACGGGCTGCTGTTAAGGCAGCTCGCGGGTTTAATTCTTTTGTGTTTTAAATTTTTCACTTTCTTTAAATAATCCTCTTCTTAATTCTTAGACGTTCCGGTTCACAGGGGTGACGTAATTGCGGGGAAACATGCCGGTCTGCCCGTGGCAGGCCCCTTTCCACCAGTTGGGGTCTGAGTTATCCATGACGTGGATAAAGTCTCCCCGACGGAATCCCAGCTCTCCATCCTCCTGAGGATCAAAGTCAAAGAGGGCCTGGACGTACGTCGGCTGCTGCAGAAGAGGGGCAGGGAGAGAACACCCGCTGGGTCTCTGCTCATGGCCAGCCCCCTGCCGGGCGGGACTAGTCACAAGGGTGCAACAGACGTGTGCCGACTCCTATATGTTTCCCGAGACAACCTTCCATTTCTCCCCCCCACTCGTTTATCCTTCCAGGTTCTAGGTCTACTCTCATGTGGGAGCGGGGTACATTCACCAGGGCTCACAACAGCCTAGAACGTGCGAGGGCACATCCCGCCATGGCGGCCAGGGCACCACACCACGCAAGCAAGTGCTGCTTGTCAGGGAAGGAACTCCGGGAAACAGCAGTCAGGCTCCGGTTTACAACCCTAAGCTCTGAAAAGGCTTCAGTTCCCATCGGTTTATTGCTTATAAAGTCCTTAAGGTTTTACAGAGTGAGCTTGACTAAAATAAGGTGGAGCTCCCCCTAACACAGGCCTGGGGCTTTAGGCACAGGAAGATAGGAATGAGTGTGGACTCAACTCCCTTACAAGCAAGGTTTTCCTCCTTACTTGCTTCCAGGAATACAGTATCGGAAAGTGTTAAAGACCATTTTCCTTCAGAGACATAGGTGGTACCTGGCAACACACCGCCTCAGAAAGGCAGCCTCTGGGAAAGGCAAAACCATTTTGTTTCAAACTACACGTAATATTTTGAATAATGAGCACAGAAGCCCCAGAAGGAATCCTTTGAAAAGGTACTTGTCTGCCTGAGGAGCTATTCTTAATTGCTAAAAATGATCCCAATCTCTCTTATGAGGCTTACCTGTGGCACCTGTTCTATGTCCCGGAGGAATATCTGCTGGTTTCTGGAGACAGATGTAGACCTGTGATAATCTACCAGCTCATTCAGAGAATTGAATTTCACCACCCAGAGGAAATACTTTCCAGCTCCATCTCGGAGCACCTTGAAGTGCTGCACATCATTTCCGAACCTGGGGAGGGGCAGAGAACACACGCGGGAACAGTCAGAGGGCTCTGTTCCGGCTACCTGGGGGCCACGTGCCCACCAAATTGAGGAGGTGTCCTATGAGAACTAGTATTCTGGCAACGCTTCTCAAAGCCCGAGGGGCCCCGGACTGCAGCACAACACGACTCCCTGGCTGGAGTTAGGACACTGAGTGCTCCTGAGATCCCTCCAATGGACTGATGATTACCAGTGACAAGAGGAAGAATCCTTGTCAGAGAGGGAAACCCTGTCCATCAGGTTAATTCTGAAGATGTTTGTAAAATAATGTCCTAACCTATGGCGTGTCTCCACGTGCCCTGCACTGTACCAAATAGCCTTATTCAGGGAAGAGTGTGACATCATTAACTTTTCAAGCAAAAACCAAAAAATCCAAACAAACAAAAATCCCCGTTAAAGCCTTACATGGTATTTAAAGACTACAAGAGGTGGGAGAGGAAGGTGAGAGAGGAGGGACTAGAACATACTTTCAACAACTCCCCTGTAACTGGGAGTATAGATCATGTTTTCCATTCAGGGATTTTAGTTCTACTCATGGGTGAAAAGGTCTCATAACGGAACGTCGTGGGCCAATAAATACAAGAGGCTGAGGTACCCAGTGCCCAGAGGTTTCTTGATCACCGGGTAACATGCCTCTCCGTACACTGGCCTGGCAGAAGCAGGAGTTCAACTGGGAGCTGACCACCCCTAACCACAGTGCTATGTGGCTGCGTCACCAGCCCAGCAAGGCTCTGCCTGGCCTGCTCACTGCTGGGTCCTCAGCACGGACACCAGAGGCCAGCCCTCCAACGGCATTCTATGAAGATCTGTAAATGAAGGACACTTCATTCGGTCTCTCCTCTCCTTCAGTCTTAAAGGGGGAAGGAAATGAAAAACTTCTTAAAAACAACCCAGTAGGTGGCAGCACTGGGCTTCAAGTAGGAGATCCCAAGTATTCAGAACTGGTGTTGCTTTTTCACGAGAATCCGTGTGTGCAGTGAGGAAGGAGGGCACATTCAAGCCACACTTCTGGCTCCACAGAAGCCCACTCCCACGGGTGCGATGCACATGGTTTCTATAAGGTGTACAGGGTCCCAGACAGTGACGCGTTAACTGCCACGGTGTTTTCCATTACTGACTCACATCTCCAAACTAGAGAAACCTTTTAGAGACCGTGGATTCCTGAACCTCCTTTGAGAAGGTGTTTGTGTTGTTAAAGGCGGTAATGACATCTGTTTCAAATTTTATTTCTGAAACAATAAATGCGGGACTCTTTCAAGTTTTTATTTGATAAAACGGAATGGTCTAGGAGCTTGCCAGCAGCTACCACATGAGCGTGCGCAGCGACTGGTAGTAATCAAGGCCTCCCAGCTGCACGCCACCCGCCTCGGTGGCTTTGGCCATCACTCAATTAACCTGCAAGTAACTGCTTGTACTCCTCGTTCTAGACTGTTTTCCACTCAGGTCAGTATAAAATGTAAGGAAAAGAGACGATGAAACACAAGTTAGCAAAGAAGCATGAAGAATTGCATCTCAAGATGTTCTTCCTCAGACCCTCACTCACACATGTTTGACCAAGTGCATCAGAAAGCCACTGTTGGGGGGTGGGGGTGGGGAGGTAACCTCTGTAACTTGCCATGCAGTTTTGCTGTGAGCCTACAACTACTATAAAAAATGAAGTCTATTAAAAAAAAAAAAAAGTCCTTGTTAGAAGATATTAGATCCAGTTTGACTTTTTCATGCTGGGACTAAAAAACTCACTTATACCAGACACATATCTGTGCAGTGTTGTGAATATGGCCTGAAACCACCTCCCATACCTTCACTGAGAAAAAGAACACAAAAATTAAGCTTAAAACTACATTTCAAAAAACCTATACTGGTCCTACAATGAAACAAGATATTCAATTAATTTTGAAAACTGAAAAATCTTTACATTGTGTGTAAATGGCAAATAAACTATCTTATGGCCTTCATTTAAAAATAATCAATGTAATCTATAATAACACTGATCTGAGTTCCCCCCTTCAATTTTTTAAATTCTAGTTAGTTAACATATAGCATAATATTAGTTTCAGGAGTAGAATTTAGTGATTCATCACAAATAACACCCAGTGATGTGAGTTTTTAACCTAATCATGCTGTCATATAAATGATGGAGTGATTTTTAAGATTCCCAGGGGAGGGGTTCCTGTGGTAATATATTAACTAGAAAGGACTGAGTCAAAACACATATGGAAATGACAATTTGATTAAAAATCCTTATTTCACAGATGAGAAGTGATTTGCTTGAAATCCTCAAAGTTCCAACTTATGTTCTCCACAATTACGAGGGTGGTCAAACTCCCTGCCTTCCCCATTCCCCGTTTAACAGCTCCTCTTCACATTTTCTCACTGGGGAAAGCAAAGCACCCCCAAACCCTTGTGGTAACCATTTAAAGTTAAACTGAGAGGCCTAGGATGGTGTCGGGAGGATTTAAGCTAGACATCTGGTAACGGCGCACAAAGGAGCTGACAGGGTGACCAGTCACGTTGACAGAGCGCGCGACAGGGATCCCACCGAGGGCAAACGAGGAAAGAGCTGTGTGCGTGGAGGGCACAGAGGAGGGGTGGGGAAGAGGGAAACCAGGCCGCTACTCACCAGCTGAAGACTTGTTTCCACACAGGAATCTAAACTCAGTACTGGTAGAACTGATTTTGAAGAGGAGCCAGAAATGACTATTTTAATGTAAAATATTCTGCTTTGGTAAAATACTGTTTAGGCTAAACCTCTACCAGTTGGCAACCTTTGGTGTGTGCAGCCAGACAGCTGGCCTGTGGCTTCACCATTCAGACCGGCAGGGAGAGGCCCCGGGGACCGGGGCGGGCAGTACTTACTTGACAGACAGGGAGAAGTCCCCCGGGGCGCTCTCACTCTCTCGGATAAGAAAGGCCCCGTCATGCCGCTGTTTGCTAAGCATTTCTTCTGCCTTGGCTCTGGGGATTTTGCCAAAAAACCACCTAAGGAAGGAAGACAAGCCAGTCAACATCTGCTTCCCCACAAAGAGACGGGATATCCAGCCTCCGAAATGTGAGTAACAGAACACTCCTTGCCAAAGGAAGGGGCCTCCCTCTTTACCCTCCAGTGTCAACATGCCCCACAGAGCCATTCAGTCAGCTTCTCCCTTGAGACATGGACCATCTCCCTTCAAGTGACTTTCCCCTACCCTACTCTCCAGAAGGTGACTCATAAGGCATGATTGTGGGCCACTCTTCCTAAAGAGGAAGACACTTAAAGGTGGGCCTCCTGAGCCAAAGCCCACTGGGCTCCCTACTGACTCAGGGCCCTGGGGAAAGCCCAGGTCTATCAATATGAAGCATCGGAAGAACCACATAAGGAGACAGGCCTCTTCTCCCAGCCATCTGACAAGGCTGAAGCTTTGCTACAGTGGGATTAAGGGAAATGGAGGTAGGAAACTGGAAGGCCCAGAAACTGGAGCCAGGGCTACTACTTGTAACAGCCCAAGGTGAAGAGGTGCAGGCTCTGAGAGAGCAGCCTCTACTACCACGAAGGCAGTCACATTCCTCTCAGAGGCCTCTCCTGCCATCACTGCTCAGAGTCAGCTTCCAGGAGCCAGCAGGAACATCCTAATTTATCCTATGCAGAGGCAGTTAGTTGCAAGATTCAGTTTTTCATTTGGGATATGTTATGGAGTCTTCTCCTCCCAATGCTAATTCACCTTGGCTGCAAGAAAAAGTGGGTGAATTCAAACAAAACTATGGGTGCAACTGGCCTGTGGAGGAGGAAGGGGAGGGGGAGCAGGTAGAGGAGAGGAAGAGCAGGAGGGGTGAAAAAAGCTTCAAGTCATAGCTGCCTATTTCACATGAAAACCATTACTCATTAGGATGGGTCAATTGTGAAAACATTCTCTTTTCAAACCTGTCTTTAAGTGTTACTACTTTAAAAAAGCAATGATATTACTTATAGCTAATAAGACCTATCTGGGGCGCCTGGGTGGCTCGGTTAAGTGTCTGCCTCTTGGTTTCAGTTCAGGTCATGATCATGATCTCAGGGTCCTGAGATCGAGCCCTACATCGGGCTCCCTGCTCAGAACAAGAGTCTGCTTTTCCCTCTCCCTATACCCCCCTCTCGTGCTCTCTCTCACAAGCTCGTCTCAAATTAAAAAAATTGTTTTAAAAGATTTTATTTGACAGAGAGAGACACAGTGAGAGAGGGAACACAAGCAGGGGGAGTGGGAGAGGAAGAAGCAGGCCTCCCACGGAGCAGGGAGCCTGATGTGGGGCTCGATCCCAGGACCCTGGGACCATGACCTGAGCCAAAGGCAAGACACTTAACAACTGAGCCACCCAGGTGCCCCATAAATAAAATCTTAAAAAAAAAAAAAAAACCTATGCGCTTCATTAGACTCTTTTTTTTTTTTTTAAAGATTTTATTTATTTATTAGAGAGAATGAGAGCCAGAGAGCACGAGAGGGAAGAGGGTCAGAGGGAGAAGCAGACTCCCCGCCGAGCAGGGAGCCCGATGTGGGACTCGATCCCGGGATTCCAGGATCATGACCTGAGCCGAAGGCAGTTGCTTAACCAACTGAGCCACCCAGGCGCCCTTCATTAGACTCTTTACATGGTAACTAACATTCATTATATATGCAAACTGTAATAACAAAGGTACCAGATAGTCCATTAAAGTAATAAATCTAACTTACAAGCAACTGCATTGCAAGGAATCTCTAAAGTAATAGACTATACCAAAATTCAAACATGGGGCGCCTGGGTGGCTCAGTTAAGTGTCTGCCTCTTGGTTTCAGTTCAGGTCATGATCATGATCTCAGGGTCATGAGATTGAGCCCTAGACTCCCTGCATCTGGTTCTGTGCTCAGCAGGGAGTCTGCCCGCCCCCACCCTGCACATTCTCTTTCTGAATCAGTCAATCAATAAATCTTAAAAAAAAAAAACAAAAAAACAAAAAACAAAACAAAAAAACCCCAAAACCCTCATACAGAAAGATGTGAGCTGCTAGGAAGATCTGATCAGAAGCTGCCATTAATTGATTAATCATTAAACATTCTTAAATCTACCTTCTTGTGTCTTTCTCACTTTGAGTACTACAATACCAGGTTGCTGAATAGCTGCTAGGATCTAGCTTCTAGAAATAACCCAAGGGTAAGCCCTCCAGTGCCTGGAAGTCAGGCCACACAAGAGAAATTACATATTAATACAACAGAATCATCTCCAACAATGAAAGGACAGCTGACTATACTAAGACCACTGAAATGTTTTCTATTTTAATCTCTAGTGCTTTCAAGTTTGTGATGCACTTGCAGGCAATAAGCATCGGTCTGGGGTGGGGTAAAGTCACCCAACAGCCACTCTCTTTTCCTCCCAAGACCCCAAGATCTTCCCACCAAGCAGGTATTTTCCTTTCTTTTCCCCTGTTTTAAAATAATGAATATGAATTAAAGAAATAGCCTAGATGTTCGTGAAGTAAAAATAAAGACTTCCCCTCAAACTCCCCAGAGGCAGCCAAGTGCTAGCAGCTCTGCTCGGATTTCATGCGTTCGCATCTGATGCGCACATACAGGTATGGCTGCAGTGTTTTCTAGCCCCCAGCTTGAGATGGACTCAATTTAATTCTCAGTGAAAAATGATAAACTGCAGTGAAATAAAGTACTCTAAATTGGAATTTTTACAAAGTAAACATACCCATTATAAGCACCCAGACTGAAAAATAGACAATTAGCTGGAGACCATTTTATTAAATAAAGACTTCTTTTGTATCTGTTTCCATTTTTACTAAATTCCGTCCTTCTTTTTCTCGAGGATGTCCCACAACATAAGGGATATAGCACCATATGAAGAATAGCTATCGCTCTCCGTTAAGACGTTTAAACAGTGATATTTAGATGTAACTACATGGCTACAGTCAAAATTTTTAACATCTTTAGCAAAGGAGAAAGCTAACCAGAGGAGGTGGCTCGTTTTCCAATTTAATTCTTCACTACATTCCATAGGCTTCCATCTATATGCACTCAGTGTGAAAAGCACATATCTGGACCCACCCTCAGTATGCACAATAATCTGTGTTGCAACACTAGCCGATAATCACTTCCTAGTCTGTGTTTAACTTGTTACCTCAAAAGCCGGATTAGGTCGTACTCCACTGGAGACTTCCCTCTTCCTAACAAAAACTGAAGGTGGGGGGAGAGGAAGGAGAGAGGGAAGAGGGAAGGGGGCCTTGGTGCTCTGTGCTCTCCCACCGCTATGGGAGGGACACAGACCCTGTACTTATGGATGTCCAGTCACAGAGCAGTCCCAGAACACGACGTGTGCCCGCAAGGCCAACCACTCCGCAGGCCCATGGCCACGGTCTCTTCAGCAATATGGTTTCCTGTTTCAGAGCGTGCATACGGTCCTCAAAGTCTAAAATATTTATTATTTTATTATCTGGTCCTTTACATATAGTTTAGCCAACGCTTCATCTACTTTGAGGATAGACTGAAGGAATAGATGTATACAGAATATCTGGCTTATATGGACAGAGGGAGGACCCACTGTATGATCCAAAGAGCAGCTCCCACTCCCAGTAACCACTACCCAACTGCTTCTCCCCGTGGAGTGCATTCCGTGATGCTGTCCGTGAAAAGCCCACACAGTCCCCAAAGCAAACATGAACACTAAATGGCTACAAGTTCACTGCTCTCAACAGCCTGGGGTAGGAGATTATTCTTCTGAATTCTCTGAAGTGAGAACACTAAGTGGTAGGCAAGGACAGTAATTATAATAAGCATTTATTGAGAACCTATTATATTGACAAGCACACTGTGCTCTGGGGATACAAAGATTAATAAGATAACAGTCTTATAGGGCAATCAAACATAACAACAAAACTATGTGGTAAGTACACTTTCTAAGACTCAAAAAATGGAGAATTATGAAACAGATCTGGCCTCAGGGGTTTTATGAAAAAGAATCAGGGAACGACATTTCTATAGTTTTATTATTTGAAGATCACTGACAGGTATTATCAATCCAAAACATGTACTATTATTATGTAATAGTATATAACCTATTGTTTTAAATGAAACAACTGCTTCATTAAAGATCAACAGCAACCATTATCAATCTAAAATACGTACTACTGGGGCACCTGGGTGGCTCAGTTGGTTAAGCATCTGACTCTTGATTTCGGCTCAGGTCATGATCACAGGGTCCTGAGACTGAGCCCTGCAGTGGGCTCTGTGCTGGGCGTGCAATATTACTATATCCTACTATTAACATGCAAAATCAACATGCTTTATTAATTCTCTGAGAAGATAGAGTAAAAGGTATGACAACTATCCCAAGGATCTCAATTTTAAAAACATAAAATAAAATAACATTGTTTGAAATAAGCAGATGGGTCTGACTCCTGGAAGACCAGTAGAGTCCAACTTACGGATGTGGTTTCATTTCTATGTAATTCTTGGGAATGAAGCCATCTTTCCCATTGAGTTCTGCCTTGTACCAGTTCTGATCACATTCTTCATTCAAAACCTAAAAAGAATTAAGACAAGGGGGGGAAAAATCAAATCATTTCCTTTTCACACTCTTAAAAAGGTAGCCCACTAAGACAATTATGTTGCCATTTAGGTTTGTTTGTAAAACGCATTATCTGAAGTATGATCAGTTACATGGATGCAAGACTTCACGTGATTTCAAACAACCAGCATATCAACTCTTGCAGTTAAAATTAAAAAGTAAAAGAAATGGTCTCGGAAAACCAGGGTCTGACCCCTGAACATCTAGCACTAACCCCTCAGTAGGAAAGCAGACAGGAGCATGACAGGTGAAATGAACAGTTTGGGAGAGGGAGATTCGGGAAAATAGCAAGTACTGATGCTGGAGAATGAAGGGACTAAATAAGCCTGCTCTCCGGGAGAGAGCTTCTAGACTTCTCCAGAGCTTCTCTGGCCCATCTTCAGGATCACAGGGATCCAGTCCCGGGTCAGCCACCGAACAGGTGTGTCAGGCTGCTGCTTGCATGCACCATCTGTCCACGTGTCCTCATACACAAACATATTTTAATGAAAAAGCATGGCAAGTCCTACTCCACTCACCCTCAAGGCCACAATGTGTTTGAGTTAGGGAATGCTGGAAGCACAACCACTAGCCCAATTTAGGGACAAGATCCAGAGACCATAAAACTGTAACACCGCATTCTCCAGACTGAAAAAATTTTCTACAAAAGTGACATGACTAGGGCGCCTGGGTGGCTCAGTTGGTTAAGCGACTGCCTTCGGCTCAGGTCATGATCCTGGAGTCCCGGGATCGAGTCCCGCATCGGGCTCCCTGCTCAGCAGGGAGTCTGCTTCTCCCTCTGACCATCTTCCCTCTCGTGCTCTCTATCTCTCATTCTCTCTCTCTCAAACAAATAAACAAAATCTTAAAAAAAAAAAAAAAAAGTGACATGACTACCCAAGGTTATGAGCTAGTGGATCACACAGATCCCAGACTGCTCCTCGTTACAGGAATGGGCTAGGCCAGGACGCCGCAGAGCAGAAAGTCAAAATTTGCTGTGCATGCCTCTAAACTTCTTTACTCTAGAACTTAAGAACACTGGTTCTGCTGGAGGCAAAGCACAGGAGAGAGAGTGTGTCCCTGCCAGCCTGGGGCACCCCAGGAGTCAGGGACCAGGTCTTCCGACCCAGTGGCTCCACTCACATCAGCATGACACGCAAGCCCTGCAGCTGGGGCGACTTAACAGATATTTACAAATTAAGTTTTATTCAAACGTCTACATGCTTAAAACAGCAGAGGACACAAATAAACCTAAGCGAGTCCAAAGTGGAGCAGAGAAGGGGACCAGAACCATGTGTGGATGAGTCTGCACCTACAGAGACTGTGTTCAACTTCCTACGGATTGACGTGAATACTCACGTCCTTCACACATAATTAAAAAGCCTCGTCAGAGTTCTGAGAATGAGGAAGTGTCCCCATCTCCATTCCCCAAGATAGAAGGCATGCTCACTCACTCATTTCATTCCCCCCCGGAACGAATAGGTGGTGGCGTTCAACACCCAAATTTTCATTCAGTCCTGAAAATCTCAGGAAATGTTTTTAGGTTTTACCCCACAGCTGCAGGTTCTATCCCAATCTTCATATTCCCTCAAATTAGGACTTTGTAGTCACACAAAACACTCTAGTTTAACGGAAGCAAACTGATCAAGAGATGAGATTATGAAAGGAGGAAGTGACAAGTTTCAGTGACCTTTTTTCTTCTTGCAAAAAGACTGAAAATAATGTGAGAACTCAAATCAGGAAGAGACCTACAAATGAGGAATGATGTGAAGTTTATACAGGACACTTAAAACTATTCCAGTCGATGGAGAGGGACAATGGGGGCTTTCAGGGTGTCACTAATGTTGTATTTCTTGACTGCATGCTGGCTACTGAACTGGGTATGTTCAGTTTATGAGAATTCACTGAACTGGGTACTCAGGATCTGTGAACTTTTCTATATGTATATCATATTTCAACTAGGGGGCGCCCGGCTGGCTCAGTCGGTGGAGCGTGCAACTCTTGATCTCAGGTTGTGTGTTCCAGTCCCATGTTGGGTGTAGAGATTACTTAAAAATAAAATCTTAAAAAAAGTTAGAAATGGGGCGCCTGGGTGGCTCAGTTGTTGGGCGTCTATCTGCCTTCGGCTCAGCTCATGATCCCAGGGTCCTGGGATCAAGCCCCGCATCGGGCTCCCTGCTCCACAGGAGGCCTGCTTCTCCCTCTCCCACACCCCCTGCTGCGTTCCCTCTCTGGTTGTGTCTCTCTGTCAAATAAATAAGTAAAATCTTAAAAAATAAATAAATAAATAAATAAATAAATAAAATCTTAAAAAAAGTTAGAAATATTTCAGTCAAGAGAACATAGTAATATTCTGGTCCAGTTCACACATAAGAAAATCACACCAGGGCCTCCTCATACATCTTGGGTACAAACTTCATATCCCAAAAATACATAGGAAAGCAGAAAACAACACAGTAAGACTCCAGAAACCCCCAGAATGATAGCTTACCATAACTATTCTATGAAAAAAAATTTCCAGAAATAAAACTTTCTTGAACCTTGTGATTCTACTATTCTAATATTATGTGATTCTGATAACAGTATTCACTGCTGCCCTCACCCCCCGTCTGAGACTATTCTTAAAGCAATGCAAATTTCCATTTATACCAACACAAAGTCAAAGCTTTCCAAACAGTTAAGGAAAAAAAAAAGGTCGAAGATTTAGGTCTCAGGCCCCTTAGATCTGGAATCAAGGGGCTGAACACATGAGTTCAAATTCCAATCTCACCAGTGAACTATGTGACCTTGGACAAAAGACTGTTGTCTAAATTCTGGTTTCCCCACCTAGAAAGTGGTGGTAACACCTACACCTCCCAGGGTTACTGAGGTGATTGAGTAAGAAAACGTGATAAGCAGTGTAGCAATCAGTACAGAGCTACATTCTGGCTGTCTTAGTGGACAAATTTACTTCACAACATTTACTCTGCCTTACACATGTGCAGTATTAGATCTAATAAAAAGTAGCAATCCTGGGAGGACTAAATATTACCTTCACTAAATCTGGTATCCGCTATTCATGGGCACCAACAGCATACATATTAAAAGGACTGGGATTCTTGTTTTATTCTGAAAACACACCAGTAGGAGACTCTGGCTTACTTCAAGAAAGATTTTTTTTTTTTTTTTTAAAGATTTTATTTATTTATTTGACAGAGAGAGACACAGCGAGAGAGGGAACACAAGCGGGGGAATGGAGAAGGAGAGGGAGAAGCAGGCTTCCCACAGAGCGAGGAGCCCGATGCGGGGGCTCGATCCCAGGACCCTGGGATCATGACCTGAGCCGAAGGCAGTCGCTAAACGACTGAGCCACCAAGGCGCCCCTCAAGAAAGATTTTAAATGCACAGTTCGAGGATCACAATAGCTAATTCCTTTCCCTGTCTCTTCTACACAGATACTGGGAGATAAGAACTGTACTTGATTTTCTACACAAATTACGGGAAAAGGTATTTTTTTAAGATTTTATTTATTTGTCAGAGAGAGAGAGAGCACAAGCAGAGGGAGAAGCAGGCTCCCTGCTGAGGGATCCAGGTGTCCCAAAAAAGGTTACCTTTTAGGAAAATGGTAAGTATTTTGTTTATAAATTGCTTGTTTAGATTGTAATGTGAATTATGGGGCTATTCTCTTGTATGAACATATTCAGTTATCTATAAATAAACAAACAAAAGAAATCATGATTTTTTTTTTTTTTTTTTTTTTTTTAGAGCAGGGGTCGGTGGGGAGGAACTGAGGGAGAGGGAGGGCGAGAATCCCAAGCAGGCTCCTTGCCCAGTGCAGAGCCTGACACAGGGCTTGATCTCACAACCCCTACATCATGACCTGAACCAAAATCAAGAGCTGGTCGTCGTTTAACCCACTGAGCCACCCAAGCGCCCCAGAAATCATGATTTTTAAAAAATAAGCATGGGGGCGCTGGGTGGCTCAGTTGGTTAAGCATCTATTTCAGCTCAGGTCATGATCTTGGGGTCCTGGGATCCAATGCTCAGCAGGGAGTCTGTTTCTCCCTCTCTCCCTCTCCCTGCTTGTGCTTTCTCTCTCTCTCTCAAATAAAAACATAACAAAATAAGAGGGGCAGTGGGTGGCTCAGTCAGTTCGGCTCCCTGTTCAGCAGGGAGTCCGCTTGTCCCTCTTCCTTTGCTCCTCCCCCCTTGGCTCATGCTCTTTCTCACTCACTCTCTCAAATAAATACATAAAATCTTAAAAAAATAAAATAAGAAATGTCAACTGGGATGTTGGTATAAAAAATAAATAAAAATAAAAATAAGTATGCAGTACAGTTATGGAGCAGTGTGCCAATCCAAAATTTTATCAATTTGTAAAGCAGCTTGTGTAAGGGCATTCACACATAAAAGATAGGAACAATTACATATTTAGTCTCCTACACAAACCACCCCCCCTCAAATGCCACTTATATGTAGTCCCTGCATTAAAGAAATTCAACATAAGCCAGTGAGTTTCTCCTGCTCTTCAAGGTCAATCAATCCCACAGTAATGATAATGAAATAGTGCCATGACCTGTAGACAGATTAAGAATCTGGTGATCCTACCATATTAATTGCAAGTTATTAAAAAAAAGGGGGGGGGAGAACACACACACTTTTTAAAGTCTTAAACCCCTAAAAAAAATGTGACAGGGCCCTGGCTAGGGTAACTGCACTGGGACAGCCGTTTAAAAAACCCACTGTCTTCAGCTGCCTGTGACATATTATTGGAAACTATGAGAATGCTCCTCAACTTTAGACTCCCTGAGCATGGATTACTGACTCGGCCTCAGGCTGCACTGATTCACTGCTAACACTTTAGGTAAGTGCTTTACAATCACCACCTCCGTCTGTCACAGGTTTTGCTCAAAGTGAAAAACATCTCGGTTGTGCTGCCTGCTCTACTGTGAGCCAAATCATGAAAAACACCCACACTGTAGATAAGCTATTCTGAT